ACAGGCCTCCACTGTATGCATCCAGTTTGGAAGTGGCCATGATCCCACAACTACATAAAAACAAAAGGCAAGAATAAAACCTTCAGGATGAAAACTACTGAAACTAGCAGCTTTAGACACCCCCATGAAGACCACTATCCAATCACAAAGCCTGATTTTGGTCAGATTTAGTAAGAACCGGTGTAGTACAGCGATTAAATCAGTGATGGCGAACCCTTTTAGAGACCGAGTGCCCAAACTGCAATCCAAAACCCACTTATGTATCGTCGGGTGCCAGGTGGGCATGGCCAATTGGCTGGGTGTGGCCAATTGACTGGGTGTGGCCAATTGGGTGGGCGTGTCTGCGGTGGTAACGGCAGACTTGGTGGGACTAAAAACTTCAATCAATCAATTCCAACTTTGCAAGATCTTTTTTTTTCCTGCAAGAAGTTGAAATTGATTGATTGAACTTTTTTTTTTTTTGCACACGGCGGTGGAGGCCTAAAGCGAAAAGGTTTTATAAAACCCAGCTGAAGGCCTAGGCCTGGGGCAACGGCGTGCGTGCCCACAAAGAGGGCTCTGCGTGCCACCTGTGGCACACGTGCCATAGGTTCGCCACCACGGGATTAAGGTATCAGGTTGATTTTAAGGTTTAAGTCCATCCTTAGCCATGGGAACTTAGAATCTGGATCTTTGCAAGAAGGAAAAAAAATTGATTTGAAGAAATTGGGTTTGTCACGAGTACAATATGGACCTGTCCTTGCAGATTTCTTGACAACAACATAGAAAAGGTTTCTTCTACAATGGTTTTATTCTTTCCAACCTATTGGGATATTTGAAAGAAAGTATATAAAAAGATTCCATCTATTAGCAGAATAACTCTTGAAAAACTGATCAGAACAAGACCAAGCTCAGTGTGACAGCCAGCAAAAGAAAATCATGTTTGAAAATGGGCCAGGTTTGGCCAAATGCCGAGGAACAAAACATTTCTGGGAAATTCCCTCAATGCAGTGGAAGAGGCAAATGGGTAGCCTGCCAGAATCCTACCAGATGTTCCCTTTTGGAGCCCCTCCCTTCTGGTCTTGTGATGAAGGAGCAGAGCTGTTGTTAAGAGGTTGGAAAGAATTCCAGAAACTTTCTCTACAATCCTGGGCTTTCCTAGCTGTTGTGGGGAAAACAGGAGGATAAAGGAGTATTATATATGTTCACTGTCTTGAATTACCTGTAAAGTAATAAAGGCAGGATAAAAATAAATAAATTAATAAAATAGCTCATAAAGTAGGGGATAGCCAAGAACCTACAATGCAATTGTGGTGCATCGGAACAAACAATAACACATATAGTTCGAGAATATCTTGTCAGGAAATTTCAAGGCACCCAGGATGACCTTATTGCAGCCACACCAAGAAGCAGCTAGATCAGTGATGGCGAATCTTTTAGAGACCGAGTGCCCAAAAACTGGACCTGCCCCCGCTTCACCCCCTGCCACGCCCCCACCCTGCCTGCCCCCAGGGCCACTCATCGCCTCCAGGGCCCACCGCAGATCACCCAGGCAGCCCAGCAGCGCCATGGCGGCCACGCCCTCTGCCTGCACCCCGCAGCATCAACTTTGCACGATGGGGCGTAAGGGCAGAGTCTTGTCTACGCTGCCTGGCTGCCATGTCCTTGGCTGTACTGCTCCACGTGGGCCACGCTCGGGGGCAACTCTCCTCCAGGGGGGCTGCTGGTGAGGGGGTCGCGAGGGGAGGCAAGGCTGGGGCAACGGCATGTGTGCCCACAGAGAGGGCTCTGAGTGCCGCCTCTGGGCACACGTGCCATAGGTTCGCCACCACTGAGCTAGATGGTTAGCTTCCTTAGATATCGAACTGTAACATCTATCCCATTGCAATTCTATGGCTCCAGATTATGGTGATTTTTATCATGATTTTTACCTTAATTTAAGGTACTGTACTCTGTGTGTGTGCGTGTGTGCGCGCACACACCCACATATTTGCTGATACTCTATTTAAACTTATATTTGTGTTTGTGTATAAAGTTTTATTAGTGTTGCATATCAGTTTTGCATGATCTCTGTAAATGCCACATAAAAAATAAATAAATCCAAGCACTGCAATAATAACAACAACAATAATAATAGTAATAGAATTGGAAGGGATCTTTCAGGTTTTCTAGTCCAACCCCCTACTTAGGCAGGGTTTGAAGGGGTTGGGTTTTTTTCCCGTTGAACCTCCTATGAAACCATCTACCATTCTTTCCCTGGGAACCTCTGTTCTGTCCCAGCCTGCGCGAGTCCTTATGAAGCTCACAAGGAGAAATCCCTCTTCAAACAAGCAGGCTGGAACCGCAGGAAAAAACCAATCCCCTTTTATTATTTACAGACCTGAGTAAAATGTCCAAAGGCAAAGGCAAACAAAACACAATTCACTGAAACTTGATTCCTTAACACAAGCGGTTGCCTTCAGCAACCAGCACCTCCCACACCTTCCCTTTTATTATGCAGCCCAAGGTGTGGCTTCCTAATGCCTTCTCCTTTGCCTTTGGAGCCGCCCCATTGCATTCCTCTGTCCAACTCTCTTTGCCTGCATCCTGGATGTCTTCCAGCTGTGAGTCCTCATTCTCCGACTCAGCCTCCCAGCACAGCTGTGTCTCAGCCTGAGTGCAAGTGGAGGGGCCAGGCTCCTTATCAGACTGTAAGTCTTGGAGCTCATCAGAGCCTTCCTCTAACTCTGATGTCACTCAAGGCCCCTCCTCCTCCTCCTCTGATTCCCCAGACTCAACTGCCGGGTCCACTGGCTGATGAGGAATCACAACCTCTTGGTTTATTAGCCTGCAATTGCATGCCTATACATATTAGCCCAAACTCTCTTACTGGATTATTCTAGGGTTTTTAAGCTAGTAGAATGCCTTAGGTCAGTGATGGCGAACCTTTTAGAGACCGAGTGCCCAAACTGCAACCCAAAACCCACTCATGCATCGTCGGGTGCCGGGTGGGTGTGGCCCATTGGCTGGGTGTGGCCCATTGGCTGGGTGTGGCTGCAGTGGTAAAGGCAGACTGGGTGGGACTAAAAAGTTCAATCGATCAATTCCGACTTTGCAAGACCTTTTTTTTCCCACGAGAAGTTGAAATTGACTGATTGAACCTTTTTTTTTTTTTTGCACACGGTGGTGGAGGCCTAAAGCAAAAAGGTTTTATAAAACCCAGCTGAAGGCCTAGGACTGGGGCGAAGGCGCGCATGCCCACAGAGAGGGCTCTGAGTGCCGCCTCTGGCACCCGTGCCATAGGTTCGCCACCACTGCCTTAGGTTTAATAAAGTGAACTATAAGTGTATCAGAATCCAAAATCTGATGGTTAACATTCTTTCCCCTCCTCTCCATCCCAATGATTTAAGATAGTTTCTTTAATAGTATTAATTAATTGCTTTTGCTAGCATACTTCCAGTTTACATAGAAAATGTAAACTCCTTGTTGCCTTTAATGGTTATCCTGATTCTTGTAGCCTAGATATGTTAGGTCTGACAGAGAGTTTGAGGCAGTGGTTAAAAGCATCAGGCTAGAAATTGGGAAACTGGGAGATCTAGTCTCACCTTAGGCAGAAAGCCAGCTGGGTGACTTTGGGCCAGTCCCTTTCTCTCAGCCCCAGACAGCAGGCAATGGCAAACCACTTCTGAAATCTTGCCAAGAAAACTGCAGGGACTAGTTCAGGCAGTCTCCAGCAACCCACACTTATCCAAAGGCATCCCACACAAAAAATTATAGCAGATCAACTGACATAATCAATTACGTGAAGGCTTCCGCATATTACCTAGTGTTTTTCAACCTTGAAGTTTAAGATGTGCAGACTTCAACTCCCAGAATTCCCCAGCTATCCTATCTTAAACTTGTGAAGGTTGAGAAACACTGATCTTGAGCCTTAGCATAAAGGATGCATTGCTTTACCTGATTGGTCCATTTGCATAGATTTCCGCCATCATCTTTTCTCGACCGCTGAGAGTTCCGTAATCTCCAACCTTCCAGAGGGTGTAATTTTTTATCACGTGGCATTCCCCGAAGGTAGTACACGTTCCACATTGGTTAAATTTCTTGCACTCTATGAAAACCAAAAAGAATTTTGGCACCAGAAAATTGCATTTCCCCCGAAAGATGAGAACAATGAAATGAATAAGATAGATAGATAGATAGATAGATAGATAGATAGATAGATAGATAGATAGATAGATAGATAGATAGATAGATAGATAGATAGATAGATAGATAGATAGATAGAGATAGATAGATAGATGATAGATAGATAGATAGATAGATAGATAGATAGATAGATAGATAGATAGATAGATAGATAGATAGATAGATAGATAGATAGATAGATAGATAGATAGATAGATAGATGATAGATAGATTTAAACATATGTCCTGACAACTGGATGAATCACCTCCTGCTTGCCTTCAGCCCACTCCCCATTTAAAGTGGCAAATATAAATATAGCAAATAAATAGTTTCATGTACAAAGCTAAAAACTGACGAGAGCCAGTTTGGTGCAGTGGTCAAAGCATTAGATTTGAAACTGGGAGATCTTGAGTTCTAGTCCTGCTTTAGGCACAAAGTCAGCTTGGTGTCACCTTTCTCTCAGCCCTAGGAAGAAGGCTGCAATGGCAAACCACTTCCAATATTCTATAAAATTGCAGGGACTTATTCAAGTAGTTGTTGGGACATACATTTAAATCTCTCTCTCTCTCTCTCTCTCTCTCTCTCTCTCTCTCTCTCTCTCTCTCTCTCTCTCTCTCTCCTATCTATCTATCTATCTATATCTATCTATCTATCTATCTATCTATCTATCTATCTCTGAATAAAAGGGATTAACATTATATATATATATATATATATATATATATATATATATATATATATATATATATATATATATATATATATATATATATATATATATATATATATATATTTTTTTTTTT